AACCACTAGACACATAGGACTAGAAGGTAGATGGGGGAATGGGTCAAAGAAAACTTAGTCAAAAGTCAGGTGTAGTAGACATGGTTCACTACCTTCCAAGCATCATTTCCCACCTCCCAGTCATGAGCCAGAGTTTTATGTGAATATCCCACCCCACCCCCATGGCCACAGACTTTGGGGGAAGCCAACTCTGCCTCCAGTTTCAAGCACAAATCTTAATTTGAATAAATCAATCAGAATATCACTCCCTTCACTCCAGTAATTGGTTCAGGTTGGGGCATGTGAAGCTTGTATTGCCAGTAAACACACCTGGTTCTCACTTGGGGGCAATTTTGCCCCCCAGGGACATTTGGCAATGTCTGGAGACATTTTTGGTTGTCCCAACTGGGGGAGAGATACTAGCATCTAGTGGGGAGAAGCCATGAATGTGCTAAACATCCTACAATGCAAAGGACAGCCCCCTACAAAAATTATCCACCCAAAATGTCAGTGGTGCCAAGGTTGAGAACCCCTCATCTAAAAGGAAAGGTATGGATAGTTTCCATCTCTTGACCCCTCAGGGAATCAGCCTTGGGATGAAGCTGATGCTGCAGTTAGCAGATCTGAGGAACAGAAAGAACCAGGGTCTATTATGACACCACTAGTTCACAAGCTCAGTCTTCCTCTGGGTATCCAGTTATATGTCTTTAACTTTCTCTTGGTTAAGCCATTGTTTAACTGGGGCCTCTGTCATTTGCACCCATGAGCACCTTGATAAACTAGAAAAGAGATAATTTATGTAACACAGCAGGTTAGGCTAACAGAAACCTTTAGAACTACATTCTAAGCAGAGAATACACATTCACAAAAATTGACCATAGACTAAGCTGCAAAGGAAATCTTAACACATCCCCACCCAAAAATAATACACAGACCATCTTCACTCACCACAATGCAATAAAATTAGAAACAATAAACAAAACAAAATGATAGCTGACCAAAAATCAAAACAAAAAAACCCCCTCAAACCGACCATATGTCTAGAAAATTTAAAACAGACTTGTAAATAATACAAGATAAAGAGATAGCAGGGCCAGAACCCATATTTCCAAATAACCAGTACAGTTCATGACCTAGCCCTTTTATTCATGTTTGTTCTTAAACATTTGCTTAATTATATGAAAGGGAGGGAAAGTGGGACAGAGAGACAGACAGCGACAGACCAAGGTGAGCTGGGATAGGGATCGGCTGGAGAAACTAGTTCTGTCCGTTGACAGATTGAAGAGACCAGACTGTTAGCAGCCAGACTCAGCAAAGCCTGGAAGTATCTACTGGCTCTAGTGACCTGGGCAGGCAACCGCCATCTAGGGGAGAGCAGAGCCAGGCACCAGCAACCAGGACAGGCTCTGATGAGCTTTGGTCCTAGGGCAGCGACTGCTTCTTGCTCCACGTTGCAAATGAGCTCCTGTGTGCAGAGAGGAGAGCTGGCTGCTGTGAGCTGGTAAGAGCCAGAAACTAGAAGGAACCCATGGGTCAATAACTGGAAGGAGTCCAGATGGCTGTGACTAAACAATGCCAGAACGCCCAGATAGAATTCGAATTGTTAACTTTCTGAACATTGGAGTCAAATGGTGCCCAGCATCTTTTCATCTGTCTCTTGGCCATCTGTATGTCTTCTTTGGAGAAATGTCTATTTAGGTCTTCTGCCCATTTTTTGATTGGGTTGTTTGTTTTGATGATCTTAAGCTGCATGAGCTGTTTGTAAATTTTGGAGATGGTTAGCAGGGTGGAAGGGTGGGGGGCAGGGATAGTTAGGGAGTTTGGGATTGACATGTACACACTGCTGTATTTAAAATGGATAACCAAAGAACCCAATCAAAAAGTGGGGGGAAGATCTAAATAGACATTTCTCCAAAGAAGACATACAGATGGGCAACAAACACATGAAAATATGCTCAACATCTCTAATTATTAGAGAAATGCAAATCAAAACTGCAATGAGGTACCACCTCACACTGGTCAGAATGGCCATCATCAAAAAATCTACAGGGCTGGGCTTCCCTGGTGGCGCAGTGGTTGAGAGTCCGCCTGCTGATGCGGGGCACGCGGGTTCGTGCCCCGGTCCAGGAGGATCCCACATGCCGCGGAGCGGCTGGGCCCGTGAGCCATGGCCGCTGAGCCTGCGCGTCCGGAGCCTGTGCTCCACAACGGGAGAGGCCACAACCATGAGAGGCCCGCGTACCGCAAAAAAAATAAAAAAAAAAAAATCTACAAACAATAAGCACTGGAGAGGGTGTGGAGAAAAGGGAACCTTCCTACACTGTTGGTGGGAATGTAAATTGGTACAGCCACTGTGGAGAACAGTAGGAAGGTTCCTTAAAAAACTAAAAATAGAGCTACCATATGCCCCAGTAATCCCACACCTAGGCAAATATCTGGAGAAAACCATAATTCGAAAAGATGCTGCACCTGAAGTTCATTGCAGCACTATTACAATACCAGGACATGGAAGCAACCTAAATGTCCATCGACAGAGGAACGGATAAAGAAAATGTGGTACATATATACAGTGGAATATTAGCCATAAAAAGGAACGAAGTAATGCCATTTGCAGAGACGTGGATGGACCTAGAGATTGTCATACAGAGTGAAGTCAGAAAGAGAAAAACAAAGATCGTATATATAATATTGCATATGTGGAATCTAGAAAAGTGGTACAGATGAACTTATTGGCAAAGGAGAAATAGAGTCACAGATGTAGAGAACAAACATGGTTATCAAGGGGGGAAGGTGGAGGGGTGGAACAAATTGGGAGATTGGGATTGACATATACACACTACTATGTATAAAACAGATAACTAATGAGAACCTATTGTTTAGCACAGGGAACCCTACTCAATGATCTGTGGTGACCTAAATGGGAAGGAAATCTAAAAAAGAGTGGATATATGTATACGTATAACTGATTCACTTTGCTATACAGCAGAAACTAACACAACATTGTAAAGCAACTATACTCCAATAAAAATTAATTTAAAAAAATAAAAATAAAATGGATAACCAACAAGGACCTACTGTATAGTACAGGGAACTCTGCTCAGTATTATGCAACAACCTAAACGGGAAAAGAATTTAAAAAAGAAGAGATACATGTATATGTACAACTGAATCACTTTGCTGTACACCTGAAACTAACCCAACATTGTTCATCAACTATACTCCAATATAAAATAAAAAGTTTAAAGAAATAAAAAGTAAAATGCAGGGTAACTGTCATTCTTTTCTTTGAACTACATATCAGAACATCTGTTGGGCTGAAATCATGGAGGGTTTTTTTTCCTTGTAGTGGGAATTCATTCATGCCTTTATCCACCCACCCACCCATCCATCCATTTAACAAACATCCAATCATCTCCTCTGATTACTTGTAGATGAGAAAGACAAAGAATATGGTTTGAGTTATTTTGGTGCCAAACAAGATTCTAGAAAGAAATGCTCAGAAAAAAAAAAAAAAAAAAACTAAATAAATAACTAAAAAGAAAAAGGAGGGAGAAGGGGGGGAGGGGAGGGGTACGTGGAGAGGAAACAGGAGGATCCCAGCAGGGGAGGGCAGGAGTCTTGTTTGCTATCAGACTGGGGTTTTTTTGTTTTTGTTTTCCAAGCTAAAAAATTTATTTTTTCAACAAAATATATATTTATTACAGAAAATTTAGAAAATACAGAAAAGCAGAAATATGAAGAAATCATAACTCAAAGATGACTTGCCAAAATTTTGGCACTTCCAGATTTTTTTCTATGAAAAAATATCTTTAATTCAAACTGCAGGTATTATCTTCAAATACAGTTTTTACTAAATAAAAGTAATTCGTCTGACTGGGTTTTGATTTGCACAAGGAGCCCCTGTGTCTGAGGGTGCTGAGAAAACCCGCCCACCCCAGGCAGCAGGGAGTGGCCAAGATGGGATGGGGGACAGGAGTTGGAGGAGTTTCGAGTTTCTTAAGCTCTACAGTCTGGATGCAGGTGTCTGAGCTATGTTCCTTCTCCCCCACCCTCACCTCCCTCCTCCAACACACAGGCGCAATCTTCCTAAGAATTCTGGGTCGAGAAGAAAGCAAGTGTCCAATCGTCCTTCCCCTTCCTCCGCACCCACACAGGCACGCATTGGGTCTCCCTGCGCCCCGAGGGTCCCGGGTTAGCGCCTCTCACCCCAGGCTGGAATCGTTAGCCCATTAGGTTTGTCCGCCCTCCGCACCCCGCATCCCAGATTCCTGAGGTCCGAATGCCCGGTTCTTCATCTGTAAAACTCCTCATAAATTGTGGTGTGACTTGAATATGCCCCCAAGACACGAAAGGAGCTGAGAACAGTGCCAGGCACATTGTCGGTGCTCTGCCCGCCACCTGCGAACGTAGGTGAGTGGACGGCGCCCCCCAGCCCGGCGCAGCGAGTACCTGTCTTGCATCCGGGGCTCCCAGCATTGCGCCCCCCGCTGCTCCTCCCGTCCTCTCCCGACCCAGCCACAGGTAGAGCCGAGCAAGCAGCCCCCAAGAAATCTGCGGACCCTGGCCCGACCTCTGTCCTCGTGAAAGGATAGGGGACTAACATCAATCGGCGCCTATGGTGGCCGCTATGCAACCCCGAGATGGCTGTGTAGACATTCCCAGTTTTCAGATGAGGAAACTGAGGCCCCAACCCAGTCCCAGCATCCCTGTATTCAGGTGCTCTGATTTACAAACCCGGCTTCTCCCCCTTACAGGATTTCTTTGGGGTTTCTCTGGGGCCCAGGCGGAAAGTCTGGGGACAAGGGACCAAGAAGGTTCTCGATCCTGTGACTTACGCCTGGATCGGGCGCCCTACTCCTGCGCGGGTGGGCGGGGCGCCCAGACTGTGCTGCGAGGCTGGGCCAGGCGGCGCGGAGCGCGCGGTGGCTCCAGACCAAAGTCCGAGAGGGGTCACAGCGCGTCACGGGTGGTTGCCCCGCCCTTTGACCCTCGGGATGCTGATTAACCGGGCGGCCAATAGGCGGTCGGGCAGAGGCGCGCCCCTCCGACGGCGCGGAACACACGGCTCTGGAGCGCGGCTCCTGGGGGACCATGGAGAGCCCCGTGAGAGTGAAGGCTTGGGTGCAGGAGAACCGCGCCTCCTTCCTGCCCCCGGTCTGCAACCAGCTCCTGTGAGTCCCACGCACGCCCCCACCCTCCTGCCCTCTGTCCTCACCCGCTTCTCCATCTGCACCCCTCAACCTCCAACTCGGAGTTCGTCAACCCAGAAGCTTGCAGAAAGGGGGATGCCATTCTCGTGATGTTCAGGGAAGAGTGAGGACGGGCTGTTCCGGGTTTCACCACCTTCGTCTGTTCCTCTTTCTGGTGACTGCGTGCTGCCTTGACGTCTGAGGATGGCTGGGTGACGGAGACTAAAGAGATGCCGATGCCAGACGGCGGCCCTGTCCCTCAGGGCTGAGAAACAGCGCTCCAACCCCCACTGAAATTGGGGGGTGGGGAGGATACCTCAGAATCAATTGTAGAACGGAGGCCTGTACACGCACACTCCGTTCAGGAAGCTGCAGGCAGAGGGCGAAATCAGAGGGTCAGCTCCTGCGGGAGGATCTCCACTTGGTGCTCTTCCCAGGCCCCCCTTTGCAGCTGGGCGCACACAGACCCCCACCAGGCCCTCCCTGGCCACCTCTGCCCCAGCACCCAACAGGGCTGACCGTGTCCCAGCACGGTCTTCCTCCGGCAGACCTCTGAGGCCCTCCCCTATGGACCCTTCACCTCCTTCCCCCTCATTCGCCTGGGTGGCCCTGCCTCGTGTGCTCCCCAGCTCCGGGTTCACAGTTCTGAGTTTTCTGGGTCCGCTGAACATCTCCAGCAGGGCGGCTCCTCAAACCACACAGCTCCAATCACTAACACCTTGACAAGCCCGAGACTGCCAAGTGTTTTCACATCATCTCATTTAATTCTCCAGTAGCCCCATGAGGTGGGATTTGTTTTTCATATCTTTATTGGAGCATAATCACTTTACAATGTGGTGTTAGTTTCTGGTTGTACAACCACGAGCTGGTTCAGGACCTCTCCCCTCTCATCCACTGCAGGCACCAGAAGCAGCTCAAAATCATGTTCGTTGGGGGTCCCAACACCAGGAAGGACTACCACATCGAGGAGGGTGAGGAGGTAGGCCGCAGACTGCCCCCCTCCCCCCCAACCCCGCACCGACCCAGCCCGGGGGGAGGGGACACTTCCCCTGCCAGGGCCAGGGCCTGTGGATGAGAGAGGCGGGTGGTCAGATGACTGATGGGTGAAGGGGGCACAACTGAAACCACAGGGTAAAACTGCTGCCTGGAAGTTATGGGCATCCAGTGACATCCTTGACAGCTCCCGGGAAATAGTCCAGCCTCTGCGGGTGTGAGAGGCTCCAGCTGTTGGGCATCAGCCCCCAGACACAGGGGCCGTCCATGCTCCGGGTGGGGATGCCCTGTCCCCCTCACCCCCAAACCTGAATAATGCAAGACTGGCCTCCAAAGTGAGACCCCCTCCTTATCTAGAGGGCTGGGAGGCCCCCTCCTTATCTAGAGGGCACAAGACACATCAGTTGCTAGGAGTGATTTGATGGAGGGGTGGGCAGGTGGGAGGGGGAATTTGTACTAAATACCCTTCTGTACCTTGAATTTTGAACTGTATTTCTGTGCTATCAACCCCAAAGTAAACAAACAAAAGTAAACTCAAAGAAAAAAGATGGGCCCCCTGAGAGACACAGATGGGTTCCCAGCTATCAGAATCTCTGGTGGCAAAGGTTCAGTATGGGGGGCCTGATGCTGGGGTTCAAGGTCTGGGGTTCAGCTTGGTCACCAGCCTCCACCCCCCACCACTGGTGTCTCAGCCGCAGCCGGGGACTGGAGGGAACATAGGAGAATCACTCGCTTAACAAGCATTTACCGAGCACCTAAGGGGTGGGTGAGGGCAGAGCGGGGAGGACCCCGGGCCAGCCAACCTCTCGCCTCTTCCCCGTCCTAGGCCCCGCCCCTCTCCCGCCACCCACTTCTCACAACACACCTCACTGGAGGCCATTTTCCTCTGGAAAAAATTCAGCA